AAAGCTCTCTGGATTAATTGAAGAAAAATGTAAACTACTTGAAAAATTTAGCCTTGTTCAAAAAGAGGTAAGACATTTTTGAAAATAATGTTCATGTGAGGTTCAGAGAACTTTATACTCAGTGTAGGTACTTCTATGTAAATTTAAGGTTATTAATGCTTTGTTTGCAGATTATGAGAGTTCTTTTACTTCTCATTCAACACTTCACCAATCTTATTAATTCTAGCCATTGTAGTAGGTATACAGTGGTGTCTCAATTGTGGTTTCACTTTGTGTTTCCCTAACTAATGAGGTTCAGCATATTTTCATATATTTATTGAGCATTTGGGTATCCTTTTTGTGAAGTTGCCTTTTTAAGTCTTTTTTGTTTTTTGTTTGTTTGTTTTACTCCCATTTTTGCAAATTCAAGTCTTTTTCACATTTTTAAAAGTATGGTTGTCTGTCTTTTTCCTTTTTGGTATGTAAGTTTTCTCCTACATTTTAGATATGAGTCCTCTGTCAGATATATGTATTGCAAATATCTACTCTGTGGCTTGCCTTTTTATTTCAGATGGTGTCTTGGTAAGCAGAAGTTCTTAAATTAAATATAGTCTAATTTGTCAATCTTTTCTTTATGGTGACTGCTTTTTGTTTCTTAGGAAATTTTTGCCTACCCTAGGACGTGAAGATAATTTTCTGTGTTATCTTTTGGAAATTTATTCTTTTACTTTTCTTGTTTAGTCTTTGTATTAGTTTTCTAGGACTGCCTTAACAAAATACCACAGACTGGATGGCTTAAACAACAGAAATTTACTTTCTCTCAGTGCAGGTTAGAATTCCAAGATCAAGGTGTTAGCAGGTTTGGTTTCTTCGGAGGCCTCTCTCTTTGCCTGGCAGATGGCTACCTTTTTGCTATATTCTTACGTAGTCTTTCCTTTATTCATGTGCACATTTCCAGTGTCTCTCTGTATGTCCAAACTTTCTCTTTTTATACGGACATCAGTCAGATTGGATTAGGGCCCACCCTAACAGCCTTATTTTAACTTAATCACCTCTATAAAGGTCCTGTCTCCAAATACAGTCACATTCTGAGGTACTAGGGTTTAGGGCTTCAACATATGAATTGTAGGGGATGTAATTCAGTCCATAGCAGTCTTTTTTTTTTTTTTTTTTTGAGACAGAGTCTCACTCTGTTGCCCTGGCTAGAGTGCCATGGCATCAGCCTAGCTCATAGCAACCTCAAACTCCTGGGCTCAAGTGATCCTCCTGCCTCAGCCTCCCGAGTAG